CGTAAATGCGGTTCGGTTGTCACAAAGGTTGGAAGATTGCTTCTGTCTGATCTCTGCACATTATGCCGACTAAATCCTTTGGAAAAAGTATTTCGCAATGTAACATCTTCACCAGAACGTTGATATGTTTTTGATGTACGTGATGAATATTCGGTTAAGGAAGATAAGCTCTCTTCCGAACGATTTAGCTCGAAATATTCGCTCGAAATATTTACGACTGGGTAAGTTATAAGTGAGTTTGTTTCATCGACCCGATGTGCTGATTCCTGTCTTTCTGGGGACCGACTCGTGTCTTGATACGTTTGCAGCACGTTGTGCAAACTCTGAAGTTTTCTTCTGACCTCGTGCAAAGTTTCTTGAGAAGATTGCGCATTGTGTGTCGGTCGCATTATTGGAACAACTGGGATGAGTTCTCTCGAGGGTGAACGGTTATTAGTCTTCAAAACTACAGCGTTATTAGATGCGTTCACTTTGCTTGGACAATACGTCTCTTTGGTATCTTTTACCGTATTGTCTTTTATCCGCTCTACGCATTTCTTCTCGTTTATTTCCTCTCTTTTTGCTGCTACTGGAGCACCATAGGATGTCTCTCTTTTTTCCATCGTAGACAAGGATGTCTAGAATATGATGAATGTATAATTACCATGTAATTTTATTTACTGAGCTGATTTAATAACGGCGATTAATAAGCTTACTTGTGTCGCTGCGTGCGTAGCTTTTAAAGAAGATACTTTATTCATTTCTGATGAACGATTCGACGAACGCAAACGTTTATCGTTATATTGCAATTCCTTGAGAAATGATTTACATTTATAGACGGTATCTGTGAATTCCTGGCATGGATTGTATTTAGTATTCGTCGCACATGCACCGTTCTGTGTTAACGGAGGAATCATTCTTGAAGATCGATGCTCAATCACGTTCGGATTCAACGGTAAAAGCTGCACATTTCGTCGTTGCAACGTGAAATCTTTGCTTCTAGAGAGATCATTTTTCTTCGTACTCACATTTTGCGAGTACATACCTGATCTCCCTGAATATATGCTAACGAAATAAGCTAAATTTAGTGACTGCGCTGTTTCAAAGATTTTGCGCTTTCTCTGAATTTTTATTATTTACACATTACAGATTGAGATAAAATAATAATTGATATGATATATTAAATTAAATATGATTTTTTACTCTTAGACGGAAAGCATTTCCGAGCAAAAATATTAATAGGTTTTTTATTAATATTTTTGCTTAAAAAAAGAATTGGTTAAAATCGGAAACTATCTACTATCATCGAGAGAAAGTGCAAAATATTTCTGAAATATCTCTAAGGCTATTTCGTCTATTTTATCTATAAAAGATGCATTAATGTTATTAACATTATATGAATAGAAAAAATTAATGTAAGATCAAATGTATTTCTAATTTTTGTACTTCACAGATTGGTCACTAGTAGATTTTAAAGATTCAATGCTGCTGCAGGCTGTTGATAATTCACTACGTTTGATATGTTGTGAACCACGTTCTTGCTTTGCGTCAAAACGATTCGTTAGTTTTGTTTTGGATGAATGACGCGCATTCGAACAAGGAGCACATATATTGCTCTCTGATGAAGGACTGAAACAAAGCATTGTTGTGAACATAAATATATTAAAATCTACAATATTATAAAAGTTTGTTAACTATTTAATGTTTTTAGCTTCTATATGTACTTTAGCAGCACGTGCTTTAGCCAATTTTTTCGATCACCCGGGTTGGATAAAGTCAGTCTGATCTTCCGCAACTTCGGATTCAAATTACAGATTTGATGTGGTAATGGCCACGTTCCATATTGCATTTTATACGTTAAAACATTGATTTTCAATTCCAGATTCTGAATTTTATATCCGACTTTATTTAGTATTTGTTTATTAAGCACTGCATTCTTCGTGTGCATACTTTTGCAACATTTTATACGGATAAGCATCGTGGAAGCGATGGCTATCGCTAAAACCTTCAAATATTAAGGAGTGAAGTACTTTTGTGAAAACTAAACACAAAAATAACTTGTAGGTTTTAAATATTTATTTTGTAATATAAATCTTTAACAAAATTTTTAAAAGCAATTAGTAATAATGCGTGGAATATGTGTATAATTGCGCGTACCCATATAATTCCTTCTTTTGCTAAGTAATCAACGACATCAGACACAACCTCGTTCCATAAATAATTTGCTACCGCGATTATACATTCCTTCCAATTTGTCTCACATGTTACCGCCACAGTTTCGAAATTTCCACCTGAAACACATTTCCATTCGTTCGAATTTGGAAAATAAACAGATCTTTTCGACGTACATTATTTGTGTCTAATCTAGCATCACAGCGTTAAAAATATAAAAAAGAAACAAATTTTCTTACCAACTTTCCACGGCATTTTTATATACGAAAGTGTTTGTTGAAGTGATATTTTAATACAGATGAAATTGTGCGTGTGTGAAATTCGAAGAACTGTCAGGCTCCTGTCTCTTTCACTACCGATACATGTTTGCAAGCAAAATTGAGCACTTATGCACTGGCAATTGTTATCGAAATGCACTCTGAATACATACAAATATCTGCGAAGGTTATACCGATATGAATTTTAGCCTGTGATAATCGTATCTTCCTCATATATTTTTTTACAGGTTCTTGGAAAGGTACCTACAATTTCCATTGACAAAACGGACGGTTGTCAAATGTATTTAAGTGCGGAATCCTTGGCTGTTGAACTTATCACCAGCAAATCTAGTGAAATGAATGTCATGGTGCCCAAAGCCAATGGAGATTATGTAAATTGTCTTTCGATAAATTCTCATTGTCAGATCAATTCGCCATCTTGCAATTTTTACAGCTCTATGTGAATATGTTACATTGCAGAGCGAGTATCCGGTACCGGAGCAATTTAAGACTACCATTAGCAAGAACGGTCTTAGTACTATGGCCGTCGACTCACTTGGTTAAAAGCACGAGGAATTTATTTGTATGCGTAGCCTACGCTATCTTCTTAACAATATAATTAAAGGTATGATCGTCAAAGATATTATCAATTTATTAATATTATTATTATTTATTATCTTCTGCGAATAATGTGCGGAGTTAAAGAAAATAATAGATTCAGTACTGTATATCTCGCTTATGTGTAACGGATTGGCTTTGATCATATATTATATATTACTATGTTCCTGAACGTGTAATAAGTTGTACACATCAGAACGAGATTGCATTCGGTAATTAGCGGTAATAACGTATTCATTAAAATCATTTGAGAAATTTTATCCCATTTGAGGATCCTTAAATTGTCAAAATATCAGGCAAACGTGAATTACATTGAATCATTGAATAGGATATCTTGAATCAAGATAATCAACTTTTGCAAAAGATCAAACTCTAATGATTGTAATATATCTAGCGGAGTTTTTGTGGATTATTGCGGAATTTTTTTCTGTGGATAGGTATTTGTATATTTTAAGGTCGAAAGTAAGATGACATAACGATGATGTTAAACATAGTATGGACAAAAGTTTTATCGTCTTCGAGTCGCTCTTTTATACATTTACACCAGTTTTTATCATACAAGAAGTTTTGCTCAAACCTGTCGTTGCACAGAACTTCCTGGTACACCGAATGGAATGAACATTGTACATGTACAACTATCAGGAACCAGATATACTAGGCCTCTGAGCATTACTCCTAAATGGTGTCGGATGCCATCATCACTAGTTCGATATGCTTTGCCTCTAATCTTATTCTGTCGAGTTCAGTATTATATGATATTTATAAATGAGATATCAAGTGATCGAGAACTGGAATAGAAGTTTAACAGTGTGACATTTAACGAGAGTACGCTAATACTAATATTACTTAAGTAAAATCACTTAAGTATTAAATGATGACATTTGTAATGAACAACAGCGACGTCATAAGTATTGTTTGTTTGTCCGTATCGCACAATTTGTAATAAATACATAATTACTTGATCTATTTTTAATCTAATAACAGTATTATGAAATTATTTACAAAAGTTTTTATTTAAACGTCAATATGTACGATATGTTTACTGTTTCTTGTGGATATAATTTTTGGTGATGAATCTGACTAATAAAGCTAATAAAGTGAAGTTGTATATCATTCGTTGGATCGTTGTTATATTGTATAATTACCTTCTAATTGTTCCAAGACAAAAATTGAAAAAAACATGAATTTTACAAAAAGAGTATATTTACTGTGTTAATTTTTCTTATAAGTTTTACATTAATTGTAATTTCACAATAATTTTATAATATGTACACATTACTGGGAGAAGATAAGTCATGTCTTTTTACATTGTAGACTAGACTTCTTTTTATTTGATCAAATCTTGCCAATAGCATAACTTAAAGTATCTGTCTAAAAGCAGAACTAACATAAGCTTCAAGTCAAGTTAGTCCCAATCTGCATGGACATGATTATTTATATAGAGACTAAAGTAATGACGTTAACCCTTACTTGCCACACTTCTGTAGACGTCACGTACTTGCCACATTGGGGTGGAATCTACCCCAGCGACCAAAATTGTTATAACAAATAAGCTATTCAATATTTTAACTTGCTAATTTTTTTAGAACTTCTTAAAAGCTTACTTTTAAAAGTTATGTAGGTTATATAGCCAAAAATTAAAATTATGTATGATACAAAAATTAAAATAGTAAAAGAAAAATGAAAAAATGGCTGTTTTTACAAAAAAATTCATTGCTTGAACTATTGACAGAGGTCGCTATAGACCCGCTCCTCATAGGTTTCGGTACTTAAAATTAAGGGAATATGGTCGTGGGGTTGATTTGATCCCAGTGTGGCAAATAAGGGTTAATAATACATTAATAACGTGACATTGAGAGACATTTGCATAAGACATTAGACATTAATTTTAAATAAATAATTGTAAAGTTTTTTCTATTTTTTCTCGACGTATATACAATTATTCTAGAACTGAAAGAATGCTTCTTTTGAAGATATATTTGCAGAACCATCTGAAGGAAAGTTTTGCAACAGTTTATCGAGTTTTGCTGCTTATTGTTACTGTATTTTAATTCGATTTCCATAGATACATTGTATTTTACGTATATACAATTGTGTGTGTGAGTTCTTCCTCAATGAGAAACTACACTTATTTATCAGACTGCGCTAGCGTGGCTTATATTGTATAAATCGCGTTTACATTATCATATCGACATATCAGTCTTGTATTATCGCGAGATCGCGGAGCAATCTCGTTCGTCGCTGCCGTCGGAGCATTCTAGAAATCCATTGCAGACACGTGATTTGGGTAAACATTCTCCGAGAGGGCATCTGTGACCTTTGCAGAATTCCACCGCGGACGGTTGAATGTCTTTCTGCGTGGTGATAATATTGATGTACGTCATATAAGAATAAATTTTCGTATACACGCCCGGTCGTTCTCGTCTGCCACATCCATATCCGTTTGAAGTGATACCTGAAACAAAAGAGATAATTTCATATTTGGTGAAGGAATATTATAGGGAAATTTATTTAGTAAACATTCAGAGTTTTATTTATCCACAAGGTAAGATAATTAATAAATGTATTTAATATTAAATGTGCATAGTGCTAAGGATTCTATCGCTCTTGTTTGCGCGACGAAAGTGACAATACGGTATCTATTTACGTACCTTGTAACACATAACGGTTTTCCAACGGGGACAAGCATACCAAAGGCCCGCCGCTATCTCCAAGACACGCGTCTTTGCCACCGTTCTCTAATCCTGCGCACAACATGCCAGATGTAATCTTATACAGCGGTAAGAATAGAGTCTTCCGTCGACAATCTTCCGTCGATATCACCGGAATTTGTACTTCTTGCAGAGTATCAGCTGTTAATAAGTACGTTATAAACGTTAATAAGTAACGGGACAAGTATTATACATATAATGTAACTTTTCCAATGTAAGATCACGATCGTCTACATCTACATCTAAAGTATATATTATAATAATATAATAAAAAATATTTACGAAACACTCTGCCGATTTCATTTAACTGTCCCCATCCAGTCACCACGCATATCGTCTCGCTGGGGACCGGTGCTTTTGGGAGGCACACTGGTCGAATGTAGTCACTGAAGCTGACCGCTCGTTCAAGTCTTATTACAGCTATGTCATTGACGAATCCGTTATTTATGTAATCCGGGTGTAGATCGATGTAATCCACCCGTAAGAGCTGCTCGTGCGGGCTTCGGAAGCTTCCTCTACGAGTCGCACCGATTCTTGCGACCCAGTAGCTGTCCTCTGCGCTATAAAGCGTTACTTTCGATTAGATCTTTGTACTGAAGCTTTATATGTAAAAAAAATTATTCTATTTAAAATATTAACCGATAAAAGCAATGCGCTGCAGAAATAACCCATCGATCTTTTATTAAAGCACCACCACATTGATATTTTCCATCCTTGTACAAGGCAATTTGCCATGGCCAGTTGCCCATGGAGCTACTGGCACCGCCAACAATCCTGGAATGACGAGAAGGGAACGATCTGCTTTAAAGGGGAGGGTACATTTGAATATAAAAATATCAAAATATTCTTTTTATTGATACGAAAATTGAGGCATTTGGAAGCGAACTTTGAAACATCCATCATTGCTTTCCACACAGGAAGATACTTTTATGATCAAGATTCATTTATCTTTACTAAAAAACCGTGACATGAGAAAGTAACTTTTTTCTGTAAATTTTGAATCTTTAATTTCTTCTTACAAAGTTATTAATGAATTTGTTGATTCATACGTAACTGTCTACAGTAGATTTGGGTATAACGCGGTGGAACAGAAGTTTATTGTAAATATTTTTAATGTCAAGTCTTGCGCAACGGAATTAATCTCGAATTTAGCGCCAAGTATTATGAAGACATACCTCGCAGTCGATGCCACTTGAGTTCTTATTCCGCATTCGAAATTTTTGCATCGTACTTTGAGAACTTCGCCGCTCGGGCACTCGGACGATTTCAAAGACAAGGCTGTTTTGTCCGAGAGTTCGGATTTGTCATTGTACGACAAAGTGTAGTAAAACTGGTTCGGCACCGGGTTCTGGTCCAGTACTTTTTCTACTGTTTCGTAATCTCTGCAAAACGAAAGCCTTTTGGTCTAAGAAACTTTATTTACTTTTAACATAAAATATTTAATATACAATTTTTATATTAATATAAAATTATAAACTTTTAATATAATACAATTTCTCTTAATCGAGATTTCAACGACAATGTTACTTACCGATACGTGATGGCCTTGCACGCAGCTTTAGCAAGATCTTCGACGGACAACGTAATTCGGCGCGCGTGCCGCTCTCGGTTAAGACTATTCGTATCGGCTAAACAAAGCTTTCCCCATTTTCCGTTTTTTCGTACACTGAGGTATCCTCTGTTGTTATAATTATCGATCTCCTTGTTATGAACGTTCGCTACTGGAAAAGTTCTGTTATTTTTAACACGCAAATTATTCTCCGGAGTTAAACCGTTCCTTAAGACATCCGACGAACTTTCGGGAGTCTCTCTGCTGGAAACAGCGACGATGATTTTACTCTCCCCCGCGTCTCTATTTCGAGCCGATTCCTGATCAATCAACTTCGGAGATAAGCTATTATTGTCGTTCATTAATCTCTCAAATTCAAGATCGTCAGGGAGGATATATGGAGTAGCTGTGTCTGTAACAGAGGGCTCGATTGCTTGATGTGTGTGGAAATGAGATTCTACCTCGGATTGATTTCTCGATAGATTTTCCGTCGAGACGAGATCAATTCGCGGTCCAGCAATGTCTTCTTCCGGCTCGTCGTCTATCAGAGCAGTGCATTTCTTCTCGTCTTCGCCGCCGGGACAATCGCTAACACCGTTGCATACCTTATCCATATCAATGCAGGATTTGCTGTTACCGCATACGAATTGACCTTTCTCGCACCAGTCTGAAAAATGAAATCAAATGAGCAACAAATGAGTCGAAAAAATGTTTAGGTAACTGCTCTCGTAAAAGCAATTGAAGCTAATTGAGATTGAACTTAGTTTTATGAGAAAACATCTGGGTTATCGCGACAATCTGATTTTAATTGACATTACCGCAATTGCTCTCGTCCGAATAATCCCAACAATCGGCGATACCGTCGCAGATTTTTTGATACATTTGCGTCTTGAGGAAGTCGGCGCACGTGCAATTAGCTTCGTCCTCCGCGCCCGGACATTCTACCAGCATGTTACAAATCGCGCTGGAGTTTAAGCATTTTCCATCTCCGCAGAGGAAACCGTCGCAGCTATCTGCGAGAATACGATACGTTTACGGTAAGTACACACGTCGAAATATATCAATTTTTTATGAGTGCTGTTTCATCGTGCATTTGATAGCAGATTGGTGAAATATACCGGAGAATCTCTTTTCAATTTATAGATTAATAAATAGAGCTGTAACTCTTGATAAATTGTCGTAAGATCCACTTTTGCTGAAGAAAGATGCATACAGATCGAATATGCATGCACTTATTAATATCAGAAAATAATAAAGAAAAGAGAATTTGATATATTTTACCAATTTGTATCATCGAACGTGAGTGATGGTGTACGAAATTTTATTTATTGCGCAGTGTAAGGAAAAACTTCACGTGATTTCCCGTATAATCTAATAATTGGCTGTAAGAAAGAAAGCTACACAAGCCCTGCGCATTACACTGTTAAATATTGAAGGATGAAATTAAATTTAATAAAAAGGATTTAATTAAATTTAAATCAATATTTTGAGTTGAATAACATTTTGTTATTTTTAACTATTATGTGTGTGTGCCAAAATGTATTATTTTAACACAAAACAGTATTTATTATTTTAACTCCATTGATTTAGTTAAATTAATATTTTTTTAGTTAAATTAACAACATATTGAGTAGAAGCAGTAGCGAACTATAGAAATGATTAAAAATGACACAAATTAAGTATAATTTGATACTACGGATTTAACAGTGTAATACTTTTCCACTCGCCTGCATACATTTAAACGCGTTGCGTTTGCACAATTACCATTGGTCTCGTTAGTCTTGCTTTCTCGAATCTTCGACATTGTATCTGCCTCGTTTCTCTCTCCTCGGTCCTCTTCCTTATTTAATACTTTCGTAAATATTTCCACCCCATCACGACTCAACGTGAATCCCGAATTTGCGTTCTGTAGACTCTCGTTTCCAGTCACGACGTCGGCGATTTTCTTCAGCTCGTCGATGTTCAGCGACGGCGCGAGATCTTGAAGTCGCAAAATTTCGCTTGAGTTTTGCTTTGAGTTGTTTCTAATGACTCGTACGGGATCGTCGTCCGTTTTGATCTGGGCGAGCTGTTTGAGCTTCTCCAGCAGAACTCTGTTCTCCTCGAGCGACATTTTTCTGTCCGACGTCTGCATCGTCCTTAAGTTCGCCGCTGACAAAATCGGCCGACTTTCGGGGAGTATCTTCTCCGTTGTATCGACAGCCGATTCGAATGATTTATTTGCTTCGTTGCCCGACGTCGAAGTCTTCTTTGAATGAGTAACCGGATCGGTCGTAGAATTGGCGACGATGAATTTCAGGATGACCGGATCGCTCTTAATATTGGACGACACTCTGGTACTGATGGAGGTAACGACCTCGACTATTTGTTCCACTATAGTGCTCTTATTTGTAGATCCCTTCTCGTCGGATTTCGCAGAGTCCTGGATCTTGTGCGAGGAGGAAGAGGAGGATTCAGAGTTGGCGGATTCGGTATCCGTCATCGTGTCTCCGTCGTGCGTGTAATCGCGCACCCCAAATAACTGCTCTAAAAGAGTATCGGGGGAGTCGAGCTTCGGTTTCGGTCGCACCGGCCTACCGATCCCCGTGTTGCTTTTCACAGGCGCCAGCGTCACGAGATTTTCCACCACGTAGGCCTTTAAAGTCTCGTTATAAACCTTCTTTTGCGATTCGCCATCGTCGGCTGTCGCTTCGTCTTTCTCTGGGTATGTTTCTCCGTTTTCTTCCGACTCGCCGGGCGTGTGCTTCATAATGTCGACTTCGACGAACGTCGAGTTTCTCGATACGCCCCTCTTCCCGCCCGAATCTTTGGGGATCAGTTTTGACTCCGAGTAACTCTCCGTGATGCCAGAGTGCGATAATCTGTCGTCCTCCTTTACATTCGGGTCTGTCGACGTAATTCGTCCATGACTTGACAACTGGACCGTCGCATCTCTCTCATCGTGCCCTATAACAGAAGTTTCCACTTCGACTCTCGTTGATGGTATCGGCGTCAAGGCTTTATCTTCGGACAATTTCGCGTCGGTGGTCGTGCCATCCGAAAGAGATAGATCGTCCAAGTTATGAAGAGGACTGCTATAATTGATACTATAATGTACGACGGACGTGATTTTGTCGACGGGTATCGTGTGTCTGAAAGGTTTCGTCGTCGCCAGGTTCTCGATCAAACTGGACCCGCCGAGACTGCCGCCATTCAGATCAGGCGTATTGTAACTGGTGTAAATCGGTTGCTGCGAATTAACGTTAATCTTCCTGTTTCGCAACGTGTTTTCGTCCGTGGTCAGCGCCAGGATACCGCTTCCCCTGTATTGATTCTTCGCTTCCGATTCGACTTCCGTGTCTGGCACAGGTTCCGCTTCGCCAATACCGCTCGTGAGCGAATCGTTCATTTTCTCATCACTGCTTGACCCGAATATGTAATCCGGTTCGACCATCGATGCCGAGTTATCAAACTTGATCTCCGGCTTTCGAGTAGCGTTTGAGGCTCTATCTTTTGTTGGCATTATATTTTTGGAAACTCCGCGAATCATTGGGATCTCAGAGGTGGAAGTTACCCCATCATCGGCATTATGTGACGAGGCTTTTAACTTGACGCTGTACATTTCCGAAGGCAACTGTCCGGCTACTTCAATGTCCAGTTTCCCGTCGTCGTTCGGCCTAGCTGTCAGACCTGGAACGATCCTATCTCGCGGAAAATCGGTGTTGTCTATATCGAAGGTATTTATTTCAGACACATCGTGAAAGTTGATAGAATCTAACGATGACCCTGGCACCGTTGACGACGTGCTGGTTCCAGCGTTGGGCATTCTCACGTTATCGCGGGAATCACTCGTTGTCGGAACTACTCTCCGCGTGGTTGATTCTGTGTAACTGGTTTCTCTGACATTGTTATTTGGTAGCAACTTGAATTCCGTGGTTACATATCCCGGCACGATCGGCTTCCACGGTGAGTTATTCTCGAAATCTGGATTACGGAAATCTTTGAAAATATCCAAATCGCTTCGAACAGTTGTGGTCCCTGAAGACGTAGTTTTCATTTCATTTTCTCGTTTTTCGTTTGATTTAGTCTTGCTGGACGTAGCTACCGTGGATTTTGTCGAAGGTTCGCCCGTTGGCGAAGATTCTACGTGATTCAATACTTTCTGTGACGTCGTGGGGTGTGACGGCGTTCTCCTAGTAGTGACTAATCCTTTGCTATCTGTTATCGGCTCAGATAATTCTTTAGTTGAATTTTCCGCGGTGATATTAACTTTCGTTGCTCTATAGGTACCCTGGATGGTTGGGATGTTGTTGAAGTCTATGTTGGGCTCGCTGGATTCGATCCTGGTTGGTTTCGTTTTTGGCTTTGAACTCATAATCAAGCTGCTGTTTCTATTTGGTCGTAATAGACCGTTTTTAGTGATCATAGCATGTTTCTGCTGCCCTTGTTTCTGGTTCATGACACTTTCCTGACTTATTCCTGGAATTTTTAGAAAAAATACTTAAAACTGATCATATTTTGTTTGAAGATTAAACAAATGCTTGAAGCAATAAGCAAATTAGGTTTAGACGTCTAACTTTCGGTTTAGATTGTAAATAATAGGTGAAACGCAATATTTGTGCTAAATGAAGCAGCTAAATGAATTTTTGTTAAAAATTAGAGCATAGAACTAACTATATGTTGAGCAAAAGAAAGAATGGGCGAAATATATATATTATATAATGTAAGTGAAACAAATAAAAAGTGAAGAAAAGTTTGATGTAACAATAAAGAAAATAAAGAATGGAGTTGAAAATGAAGAATAGACATGAAAGACTCTGAACGGTCAGCGCGAGAAAACAGGATAGCGGGAATCCAATAAAGTTCCAATGTTTTTATACGGTTCAGCGTTTTGCATAAAATTGATCAAGTCTACTTATCGCCACTCACTTTTCACTGATACGGACGTAAGGTCTAACTCCATATCTTTAAACAATGATGATATTGAGTATGTTTCTTTGACAATAATATCTTGAATGGTGTCTTCGATATTTACGATCGAGCGTGGTATCTTCCTTCGGTCGAGATACAATCTGAAGAAAACTTTCAAAGTCCCATTCTCAAATTTGTCTATCATGGTTTGCTTGTAGGATAAGCCGAGCACGCTTCTCCTAAATAAAAGCTCGAACTGAAAATAACAATATTTGAATTTTTAAGAGGCTTGATTCCGCCTCTACCTTTTTACATACATAGTAGAGCGATCTTGAAAAAAGATTTTACTTACAATATTTTTGAATTTTCGTTCCTTTTCTCGGAAGACCATGCTCGTGTTTAGTTTTAACATGGGATTATACCTTTCGCCTCTTGCTATTCTGAAGTTACATGAAAATCCGACGATAGCTGTAATAAAATGAAAATGTGAAAATATTACGTAATTTATTATTGTTATTTGAATATGTGGTGAACTCACCATTTTTAGAATCTGTTCGAAAAGCTGAAACATTTGATCAACAATAATTAATTTTACGTAATTTATTATTTGACTTATTTTAAATTTAATTGAAAAAGAAAGTAAAAATTTGACGGACTCTAATTCTATATTTTTACTCCTTTAATTTTACTTTTTGTCTATAAGCATACGAAATTTTATTAGTCAACTTAATGTACATAAATTAAACATTCAACGTACCACCCATCCATAGAGCTAATCCAGCAATTGCCAGAACTGCAATCAACACTAACATAGCCGATAAAATTAACATGGCACTTCCAAACCTCCATGTAGTATTGCCATTTCTTCGTGCTACCGATACCCTGGACCAAGTGGATCTTGGTAGATAATAGTCACTCTGTAATGAGGATATAATTAAACTTAACCCTAACTAACCACTTATTTTCGTGTCCTTAATTCGCCACACTCCGATCTGTGAGACCGTTCGACTTTGTCGTATTGTCATTTCCATTCTAATTAATATTTTTAAGCTTGTACTGTAGAAATTCGAAATACAGACTTTGAATAAGATGTTTATGATAATATCAGGTCAAGAAAATAATTTGAATTTAAACTGAACTTATTTCAAAGAAACTAAAAAATTATGTTATTATGTAAAAACTAGAAATAAAAAATAAAAAAAAAACGTTCAGCGGTCCATTGGACCGGAGTGTGGCGAGCTACGGTTAAATGATATTTTATCTATTGACTATCGTTTCTGAATGATTGAACTTAATGTTTTTAAAGCTTGGTTTCAAACATAATTTAAAATGTAAAATTTTACTTTTTAATTTGTCAATATCGCAATGGCATAACGAAACATATATTATAATAGTACTCTTTTGTATAATACTATTACTCGATAATCGCATGTGCGCAGCATCTTTTAAAAGAGATAATTGTTTAATGTTCCTAATTTTTGTTTGGTATACATTTGTAGCGATGCGAGTCAGGTGGCACGCGACTTATCGTTGAATTATATATATATGTATGTATATATGTGTGATAAATGTAAGCGAGCGTGTACGGTAATCCCGTTAACGGTACCACCGGCGGCACGGAATGCATGGATAAGAAGAAATTTTCAAAGTGTCGAGATGCGAATAACGTTCAGCTCTGCTCGACTTGCCGGGCGAGATCGCGTAGAAAATTCATAATATTTCGTCTAGCGGTAAAATAAACGTGCCATTCGCAAGTGTGGTCGGGTATTTTCAGGCATGACTGCTTTTTTATATTAAAACTCGAAGTAGGTCCAGGTGCTTCTTGTGGCACCTGTAAATGATATTTCCGAGGTTTCCAGCTGCTTCCGATAAACATTAAAACTTTAACTAGCATACAAGAAATAAAATAAAGTTGTTAAGTATAAAATGACAAATATTGAGGTCGAAGCTGGGTACGTCGATCTCCAAGAGTTTTAGTTTTTAGCGGATCTTAAGAGTTAATTAATGTCTAAAACATTACAATATGATGTGCTTGTCTTATTTCTTATCTGTGAAGATGCAATTAATCACTTTGTGTTACGTAATCTACTAATCTCCGTATTCAGAAACGTTTTCAATGTAAAATGTTATTTTATATTGACCAAGACATTTAATATTATTAAAACAGGAAGCAAAGAGCCTCGGAAAATGCCCGTTTGGCTTAGAATGTTCAAGTAACTTATACATTATATGAAGATGGATCCCGTTTGCGTTCGTCGTTCGGATTATTAGTGCAAGACATAAATTTTATACGCGTCCTCGCATCTTCTTCGAACAGGTGGAATATCTCGAATGCACCGATGAAATCGACCGTATCGAATGTGATGTCCAGATACAAAGCGCGAGCGTGAACCGTTAGAAGTTTATAGATAGTCGTGATTTTTTATTTAAAAAATACCGCGTGACTTCTACTTATTCTTATCTTCTTGCCTCTTGCGCGCACGCTATGGTGTTATTGCTTAAATTATTATTTATGAGAAGAAGAAGGAAGAGTAGTATCATTATCGAGACATATTGATAGTGATAATTGTTCTTACTATCAAAGGAAATATTTTGATTATATCTAATTGCTAATTCTATCTAATATTTAAATACGCTTTGAAAAATTATCGATATTTTATGATAATTTTGTAACAATCTCAGAACATATTATGCTTGTTCGCGTCTGTTTCCATGCTCATAAATAAATAACCGATTTATATTGGTTTCAGGTTTGACGCTAACATTATCGTGCTGTTATCGATCCGTGATAGCTATGAAGCGTGATAGCTTCATTGCACGTTATTTATTTGCATTTTCCTTATTACACGCTTTGTTGCACTCATAAAAGATTTGCAGTGCGCGATTTGTTTCCTATATCTTTAAACCAACATTGAATAATAAGCTATGCAACGTTTCAAAAAAAAGCTATGCAAAGATAAATAATTGGTATTTAGTAATTTGTACTTTTTCGAGGTATTTGAAATTATGATCCATGAAGCAAATAGTCGCTTAGCGTGTGATGACATGGCATAATATGTCATTTTGCTAGTTGATATGCAATCTTGCTCTTAAGTCGTATTTATTCTAGATCAACGATCACTCACTTTCACAAAATGCTGTCACAAATGAGAAAAGTTACCATTCAACAGTTAAACGTCATATATTGCGACTATTTTAAGTTCTTTATTTTTTTTTAATTAATAGTTGTAAGAATAATATTTGTATCTCTCCTAAATTTTCAAGTATATACAATTCAAATGTTAAAAGGAAAATTATTAGCCTAAATTATATCTGTGCTATTCTTTTCAGTGTCGCCTTTTATCAACATCTTTTTTTATTTATCTCATATTCTTCAAAGATGCAGGCCGTAAAAATAATTCTCGGCGGCACTTAAGTAGCGTTGCCGAGCATATCCAACTATGTGGATTACAAACCGTGGTAACAGCTATGCGATTCCTGAAAAGGCTGTTACCTCCGCCGCCTTATGAAAACTTCATAACTATAAATAACGACATTACAGAAATGACACCCCGGAGCTGCTAACTGTTATCAACCGTTCATCAAAGATGAAATTAGTTTAAGAATAATGGAACGTGTGACTGAAACAACACAATTAAGTCTGTCACGGATAAGTGCCGCGGTATGAAGAAGATAGAAACCCATTGCAAAAATATCCGCTAATACCGTGGCCGCAGAATACCGAGGGCTAATATTTGAAGACGGTTAAGAAATTCAACCTTCGAGATTCGCAAATAATGGCTTGAGGAAGGTGCCGGTGTATGCAACTGTCCGTATGCGTACATTGCGTGCCATGACCTGGACGAGAGTCAATGCGCGGCCTTCGTGCGGGGCAGCACGAAGAAAATGCGAAGAAGATGCGAGTACGAGCAGCTTTGCAGCCGAGTGCAAAGATCCTTCAAGGACGCTCCCGCAACTCTCGTCCTTGTCTGGTTTAATAAGGGGCCCTAGGAACGCGTGTGTACCTGGAACTCGTACGCGCAGATCGTAAAGCTTGTTCAGGGCCGGGCCACGCAAAGCCACATCATATATTATATCTATGCGAGACGGTACAAAGTACGATTTAACGATTCCATTTACAAATGATCATGATCGACACACCTGGGTATTTATTTAAAAAAGTGTCGATTATATATCGCGCAAGAAGTGAAGAACACTCCACGGATACATTGGATTGTTTAAACTCAATGAGATCCTCGCAATAGGAATTGCGTGGGCATCGGCGAATCAGAAAGATATATTATCGCTACGATCATCCTTGCGATTACGCTCTCACGCGCAGTCCTTACAATATATGCAAATATATCTCGACAATAGGATGGACATTGAATCGCGCTATGTATCGCGTTCTTTGATCCGTAGAAATATTTCGCGCAGGAATTTCCTCACACCAAAAGCTTAAGCTTCGCGCGAGCTTCGCTCGAGGGTACACGATGTTATCTAAAGCAGAAGTACGCATATGGGAACTTCCTTCGTTTGTTTATGGATACATATCATTGGATTATTTTATAATCGCTCATTAGTATTTTATAAACGTTACCGGCAATGTTGTTTCTCGCGTTTAAAGTTGCCAAGTCAGGTTCTCAACAGTAGACAGAGAGAGAAGAGCACTGCGAGTACAGTTATAATTTGTTCCATTATATGGATATTTTCGTGATATTTCCGCAAGATTTCACGTTGGTTGCGATCGACAAATGTTTTTCCGCCTATACTGGAGATTAAAATCGCTTACATAATTCGATTATAAAGATTGCATACAGAATTATCATCGCTCGCATCATATTCTATGTTTTCAAGGTCTATTGTACGGATCTTCGAAGCCGCATTATATAACGACATAAGATTCAGATTGATTCTCCATCTTCGAGAATCAGTTAAATTTGCACTTCTATAATGCTGTCGCAAGTTTAAATTTTAGACTGTCCAGGTCGTAAGGTCGATTTGTCAATGTTTGATTCCTCAAAAAAGACGCTGCTATTTATATTATTTTTATTTTCTTTGGTAAAAAAATTTTTCAGAGAATTCTTCATATTATTAATAAAAATTTTTATAAAAATTTTCAGACTTTCTCAGAATCTTGCAGATTTTTTATACAAATTGGAATGTTTTTCAAAAAAACTTAGACACAAAATAGGAATAAAATATTTCAGATTTTTCCCACCAACATATCTTTGTAAAATCTGAATAAATATATGAGAAAATCTGTGCAATTTATCAGAAATTTTTATATATACGGATGTTAAAATATTCTGAAAATCCTCATCCAATTATTTCTGAAAGTACCTAAGAAACTTTATATATTTTTTCAGAATTTTTCACACACACACACACACACACACACAAGTCTCAATTTTTACAAAATTTATGAGAAAATATAAGAAATTTTTTTACCAGGGTTGTGATGGGACACTTAATTTATTTACGGTCATAATTTATATTACAGGTACATTGAACCTAACTGTCGGCTATTGTAGTAACTCTGCGGGTAGATAAAAAGGCGTGCCTGGCTACGTAATTCTTATATATTTCATCATAGTTCACCTTGCGGCTCATTAACTCGAGGCAACTTAATTATCATTCGGCCGACGTGTTCCGAGGGAATCCAAACGTGTGTGCGCGCGCGCTAGTCCAGCAATTCAAATATTATCCGCAATCGTTAGCGTAACAGACGCGTTGCGTGCCTACGTGCACATCAATATGTGAGAGATCCGTTCTTTTTTCTGATGATGCGTTGAGCGTTAAGTACTCTCAGCACGATTCGAGTTCAGATTCCGCAGTTTCTTGGCTGCGAGGGTGCATCTCATCAGGGATGATTATCGTGCGTAATATAATTTACCCGCGAGTAAAGTGCATCGCTATCGTCGCAATTATCGCCCACAGTCGTTGACTCGATAACGGTACCATTGTGCGAGCGGGTTGCGAACGTGTCGGACGATCGGGTTTAAACAGCCAATTAAACGAACGGCGCCGCGCCACCACGCCGTTGTGTGGGATGTGGGTTTTGGCATAGAAAGAAGACGAGCTTATTAAGACGGAAAGAGTGTCTGACAATGAGTGTCGGATAATTCAAAAGATCGTGAGATAAGGTAAATAAAGTTAGCTCGAGCATGAGATCTGCATTTAAAATATTACAATACATTTTGAATATATATATTAAAATAGAATAGATTATTAATCAATTGGAGAAAATGATATTTTTGGCCCGAGCTGGATCTTGGTAGCCTAATAATATTTCTGTATAAATTTTGTATATTTATTTTCAAACTCAGTAAACTGCGCGCCGATATTTTGTCGGTCTTTAAAGAATAAACTAAAATGTTTCGTGAGGAATTCCGGGATTTACGTTTCTTAGAACAGTTATGTGCGTGCGCGCAAAAAGTTGAAATACACAATTATATATACATTTGCTCCTGTCTTTATTTCAGGCACATTTTCTTGGTAATGATAAAAGCTTCAATTTAGCAAACAAAAAGAAGGAAGAAAAGAAAATGACGACGAAGACGGGAAGGGAACAAGAATAAACGACCTCTTGTATATGTAGGAGGAGAGGAGGAAGGAAGGATATCCCCTCTTATTGGAATGCCATAATTGTAGTTACTTTCAAATTGCTGTCTCGCGTAAAGAGATACATGGTTTGTCTCGCCGTTGCGCGTGAACTTGACGCGAGACGTGTGTGACCGTGTGTTTCTTGATAAAATTATGTAATACTTTCATATGAGGCAAGGTGAAGGTTTCCGTGATGTAAGATCTCTCTTTATATATATATATATATATATATATATATATATATATATATATATACATATAGGATAATTATAAAGGAATTGGTTCACTTCTTCCAATCTATTTATTAGGAAAAAATTTTTACAAATAAATGCTCTTAATATTGTATATACTAATAATAAGTCTCACTAACTAAACTGCAGCTCTAATGTTTTTTACAGATTAATTTTATCATACATAGATATAGACCGGAAGTTATGAAAGTATAAAATTGCACTTTATAATCAGCCTGTATAATCACCTCTATTTTGTATTATATGTTATAAGTAAACGCGTTTTAATTCACAGAGAGCACAACGTGTCTTGTTTGAAAAGTGAACGATCGAGTCCTTAAAAGTCTAAATGTGTAAAAGTCGTGTATCCTGTCTGTCTGGTCACGATTTTATTCCTTGATAAAACTTGGACAAGACTCGTCTTATATATAAGCGATTTGCTAACTACTTTCGTTCTTTTACACTCACATATATGTGGAGTCATAACTCATCGATACGAAGAATGACAGTCGAGATAATTCCTGCTAATTCAGTTACTGTAATATTTAAAGGATATATCTTGTAAAAGTGATAGTAAAATTTTATTCAATTAAAATATATTTGTTCGATGTGTGTATTATAACGATCAGGATTCTCTTTTTCTTCGAGTACAAAAGATGACTCTTGTTGGGGAAAAAAAAAAGTGTTTTGCGATATTGTCAGATCTTACTAACTTGTAAAGCATCTTGCAGCAAGAAAGCAGACTCGACAAAACAGGAAAACGTTTTTTCTCGTTACCGTCATTTCCATTATTGAACGTATCGTCAATGAATAAACAATACCGCCTATGTGACAATTAGTAAAGTTTTCATCAGGAGAGAAAAAAACTGTATTAACAGTAAAATAAATACAATAACTATCTGTGTAACTTTTTGAATAAACATTGAAATTTATCTGTAAATAATATGTGGCTAAAATACTTGTTGGCACAAATGCTATAGAACGATATGGAATAATCGAAGCCAAAAAGTGCATTTGCAGAAAAATGTCACATAGACGATATTGTTTATTCACAGACGATATTCTTATTATACACACGTGATTGTATCTGGCGAAATTATTGCATTATTAATCTTATAAAAATTGAATATATAATATCTACTTATTACGAGTACAAAAAATAGGTCAGTTACTGACTTGAGTCAACGTCAAGTTTCAAATTTAATGGCTTTATCCTGTCATATTTCCTAATAAAAACAATATGATAAATATAAAATACTCACCTGATAAGTGTAAGGCCTGTAATAACCGCCGGCGTTCATCGCGGTATGATTTTTTCCGCTGCCACACATGGAAGTCATCGTCCGGACTCTTGAAATTTTACTTCCGATCGAATTGTATTCGTAACGCACGCTGCAGTTTCCCACGAGAGTCAGAGTTCAGTTTTTATGACATTCTTCGACGACGGTGCACCATGATGATAATTGCGTGGAGGCTGATCGTGTCAAAGCATTCTTCGCATTCTCATTGTAAAAAAGAGACGCTGTTACGTTTCTACTTGCTAGATTCGCTAATGAAGATGGTATCAAGACGTTTACGTATGAGATACTCCACTGCGGCCTTGATTATACAATAATTGACTTTCTTGAGCACGTAGGTCAACTTGCGGCCGAAATAAATTGCGTGTGCGGTGTGGTGGTTTTCTCAAAGTCGCGAAGGGGACCGCGATTTTCGATGACCGGGAAAATACCGTTAAGCGAATACGGACTAACTTGGAGTATATCCTCCAAGTTGGAAAATACTTGTGCCACTCGATCGATTCTGTTCCTCTACTATCTGCTATTGTTCGGTCAATCTATCAAGATGGTTCGTAATGTTGAACAAGTTGTTGAAAAAAAATATAATAATTAACTCAGCTCCGATGGAAGTTATTGACCCGCATTACCGGTAGCCAGCCCGGTGTAAATCATATCGCGTCTATTGACTTCTCTCGAGGAAGGCACGTACACGAAGCGTCCATGCAGGGCGATGCTTCCTCAGAGAGACGAGACGATCCGAAGCGGGAAGAGGTGAAGCGCGGCGAAGCAAGCGGGACAACACCACCACGTCCTTCCTACGTGACGGCTGACCACCAACTGACAATCCGAGATCCTGAGGTACCGCCGTTCCTCATCTTCGTTCTTCCCGTTCGGCCAGGTTCTCTCACACCGCGTCGCGCGTCGCATATACATATATATATATATGTATATGTATACATATATTCGGCTTACACGCCGCCCTGACGAATTCCCCACGTCGACTTTATGTATTCCCACGGTTACGGTGCTTTACATTTTAAATCCGCGGTCCCTTTGTGAAAACCACCGTTCGTAACTAAACGGGCCGTTGAACAAAGAGCGATGATATAAATAACATTTATCTTAACTCGAAAAGTGTGAAAGATTCGAAGATATTTAGATAAAATCCAACTATTTTACCGTAATATATCTTTTTCTTACAAGAATATTTAGCGAAAAATTTTGTGGAGAGGATATACTTAATTACTGTGAGGATATACTTAATGAGAGGATATACTTACTTGAGCAACGATACATCGGCAAGGAGATTTCAATGCTCGCATCGGTCTTACAATTCGTGTACTGCGTCGGGAGATTTCAATATGTTACAAGTATGTTCTTACCATTATGATAAACCAAACTTTTCTTCTCTTTGTATATTTATTTATTTTATTTATTTATTTAAAACGATATAATAATATGAAAAGTAAAACTATATTTTTAGAATGACGACATGAGCAATATAGATACAATAAAAGAAAGAAAGACAAAAGAAGATAGGAGTAATCAAAATGTATATCGGGAAAATACAGTAATGTAATTTCGTATGAAGAAATATTACACTAGTTTTAAAAGATTGTTTTATATAAAAAAAATATCCTACATTTATACTATATCTATATATAGATATACATTAGAGAAATATTTATTTGTTTGCGGGATATGAATTCGCGTTGCGAATAATGTATAGGTCATCACATTCTTCATCTCGTTAATATAGTAATTTTAGAAGGATAACAGTTCTGCAATTCTACATAATCCCACTGTTTGCATGTTAGGTGGAGCTACATAATGCTACTCATTAGACGGCGCGCGCCCTTATTAGTGCGACGCCTAGATTACCGTTGTCTTATCTCGTTATTTCGCGGTAACGGTAGCGAATCTTGTGGTCCCATGACGTTCCACGGTGGACATAATGCGAAATCGCATCCAACGTATCTCACCGGTTAAAATCCCGTGCATGTAATATTTTCAGACTTTGTTACATAGTTAATTTTATTACATCTAAAAAATTAATAGATTGATATCATAATTTAATATAATATCTTTGAATAGAAATATCGTAATTTTCGTTATAATATCAGCATATTTTAGAAAAAGAAAAAAATGTTATTTTACAATCTTTACCCAGGTAAAACAGAAAGTCATAATAAAGTAAAAAGACGTTAAAATAATGACCGGGTAAAATGAAAAAAAATCATCATTTTGACTTCATTGTAAGACTTGCTGTTTTACCTGGGTACTAATATTTTTTTGTGTAGCTTAAGAATCTAAAATCTAAAAATTGGATTTTAAATAATTTAAAACAATGATAGTTTGTTATGCAAGACAATCCCACTAAGATATTAAAATATTAACCCAGTGTTGTAATTATAAGCTCGCCGAGATGTGTCGTTACTCAAATACTTGTTAACGCTTTGAATGAAGAGGAGTAAGTAAAATGAAAAAGGAGAAAAGGGACACGGGGAAGAGCTCAACCATGATCGGCAAAGAATTTTTGATAAAAGATTATCATCAAATTATAAATAATGGTCTTTATCTGCGGGCAACGAGCCTTAAAAGATCGTCGATAAAGGCCCGGTCTTTTCTTTCCACAAAATTGAGCCAAAATGCGAAAAATTCCGTTTAGTATCGTTTTCGCGAAAGTTCTAGTGATAAAAATTTAGTTGAGTCGTCGTCGCACAAAAAAATCAGATATATCTATATTACAATATTATGATATCGTATCAGATATCGAATCAGATTTTCCAATTCTTAATTAATACTTTTATTTTTAGTATATTTTTCTTCACGTTGCTCTTTTCTATTTGAGCTTATTTCAAATAAGCTCAGATAAGCTTGCTCTGGCCACGTATATTACAATTAATATTACAATAAATTACAATATTATTTTTATTTGTAGTTGCTATAGTAAGAAAAGAACTAACAGGACTAACGAGGAAGTGCTAGTTGGCTTGATCTCAATGTGTCGAGAACAATGTGCCAAAGTTTGACCGTATATACTTGCAAGAATTGACCGAGTGTATATTGACGGAAAGTTTTTGAATATATTTCGGGAGCAAAGTTTCGAAAATTTTCGACAGGAATGTCCGCGTGACGTCGGTTAATCCCACTATTATTATCGCGTATTATTATTCCGATCGCTCGCAGGATCGGCGCGTAGGGAACGGCCGGTGGAAATTATCGGATGGTGGCCGTGCTGAGGCGTACCGAGGAGCTGTAAATAACACTTTTTATCGCCCGCGGTCTGGATTTCGGACGGGCGTAATCCACCGCTGGTTTCCCTTCATCCGCCGGAGATTTATCTGTAAAAATTTTGCCGAAACAGAAAAAGAGAACGACACCCGCCGTTCGATCTCCTTACCGCGCGGGAATGGTATTACCCGCGGGTCTCCCCGCGCTCCGGGGACGCGGCATCCGGTCCCCCGGTTCCCCGCTAAGATTGCCGTACTTGCGCTTAAGGTATCCCTCGCAGCTGACTACGTGGCGGAATGTCGTGCCGGTAAGATGCTGTGGGTGATCTTCGCAGGGCCGTATCGAGCGGAGCCGCTCTCGTTTTCCTTAACGACTTTTTTCCCCTTCCTGCTTCTTCTTCTCCTGCAAGATCTAGGCAATTTTCGTTAAAATCCGCAGCTTTCGAAGTTCGAACAACTCGCCGAATCGATTCATTAAACGGACGATCTATCAGATCGCGATGCAGCACAGATATGCTCCTGATGCAATCCAGGAAGACTCTCGGAGGCTACTCGTTACATATTGCCTCCTCTTTGTTCGACAAGAAAAATCGTATTTAAGAATCAACGTATGGATTGCGTATTGTAAATATTGCATTGTATTATAATGTCGCACCTCTAGAAGAATACTTCCACAACTTAAAAATGTCGATTTTGAGTTAAGCCCATAAAAAGTATGCCTAAAATGTTACCTACGTGCTGTAATAGTGTCACAAGTCTATATACGAAATCCGCTGTATGGGGCAGAGGTATCGTTATTCTTTTAAATCAAATGTTGCGATCACTGAATGAATAGTGTCATAAAATGTATTGACAAGTGAATCACAGCAGACCTCTCTTAAAAAAAAGTATAAATTTCATTATAACAAAATATCTTAATTGTAATTGCGTTAGTTATCTCACAATTAAAACAATTGAATTAAATTTGTTTTTCCTCTCTCCTAAAAACTGTGAATTTTTAATTGCGACGGTATTCTTTTAAAGGTGCGATATATGAATGTAGTTAGTATAAAGAAGAATGAGAGGAGAAGGGGCAGTTCGCGTGGCATTGATATCGGCACCGTATCGCATCGCATGACGATCCGTGCAGCGATTCGCCACATCATAACATGATTTATCGATTGACATTTTTTCGGGAGTTTTTTATTACGTTTTGATCTCATACATTTAACCGCCGAGCCGACCAGACCAGCTCCAGGGCTCGTTCTCTTCACTCAGCCGGGCCCGAGAACGTGACACTCGAGTTGTCGCCAAATTGTTTAATCGACTACCTTTCAAAACGACGTTTGCTAGCCTAACAACATGATCTATCTGTCGCTTTGCTCTCATTATTTTCCGCACCCGTTTAATCTTCCCGATTCTCTCTTTAATCTTACACGCATCTTAATCTTAATATCTCTATACAAATGTATTCTTATACATATACCGAAGTTTACGGATTAACACAAACACACATGCACACATTGCACTCTATGTTATATACACTGTTAATTTAGTAATAATTTTCGAAATTTATCGCAAAGATTTCTTATACATATGAGTATTATATCATGCTCATTAATTCTATGCCGATTAAAAGCAGTCACCCATTTTCAGGAAACAGAGAGGATTGATTGAATTTTCGCATCTCATGCCATGTCTCTTCGATTCGCACTTTTAAAAACTCATCTCATCGAAATGCCCCACAGATCGCTTGTAATTATTTACTTTCTATTTATCGCATACTGGTGTACTTTTTCTTTGTCAAAGAAGCGATAAAAAATCAACGCGCTCGTTCAGCAGCCTCGATTATCCTTTGAAACGTGATGGAATCGAGTCCGGCAAAGGGTTTGTCGCGGGCTGCGAGCGGAAGCGAGCGGCGTCTTCTTCGTCGTCGTCGCCGGCGGATTATATCGTCGAAATAATCGTCCGTGGTCGGCGGATTCACTTTGGCGTAGTAGAGAGCCGCGAAACCGCTGTAGATTAGAAGAGCCGCAGTCGCGAGCTGATGCACAAATACGATAACACGTGTTTAAATCAAATTTACATGATTACGTAAAAAAAATCAGGTGGTTAAAATTAAAGAAGATCAAGATCTACTTGAAAAACAGCCCAGAATTTGAAGCTTCCTTCGTTTATCAGAAAATCATAATAGCCCGCCCAATAATCAGTCTTAGGTTGATCCATCGCTTTCGTTTGACCGTTCTCCTCGTCATTCATGTCCTCATCGTGATCGTCGTGATGGTCGGCGTAGTCACCTCTGTTATAATCCCATCTGTACGCTTTGTTTCGTCTGCTCCTATGGATAAAATGTGACTTATTGTTAGCGGGGTGATAAGTTATTAGTTTTGCGCTTTATATTTCTTTATATATTATAAAGATTAAAGAAAATTGAGCTTTTATATCGCGATGAAAATTAACATTCGAAGCAATTACAGTAAAACCTACTCTAAAATTAGATCTAAAATTTGCGTTAGAATTTACGAAATTTATTTCAAATTCACCCAGCAAACACAGAATACACCGAGTGAGCAATTTGCTAGCAATGTATTCTGTGTTTGCTGG